GCTTAAAATTAATCATATTTTAAGCTTAGTGCTATGTTTATATCTTAAAGTATTTTAGCTAACAAACTCTAAGGAGTTTATACTAGCATATTAACAAGCTTAAGTCTATTAGTCTTAAGCATTGTATTAATATTATATATACTTATCATAATAAGTACATTGTAATAACCTCTATATGGCAGCTGATAAGCTGGCAGCAGGAATTCATCAGTTCAATGCCTTTATGAAGTTCTCATAGGGTTATTACAATCATCACAGTTCAAATCACTAATTATTAAAATCCAAAGTATTATATATTCCCACCTCCGCTCTGTTGGATTCTACAAGCAAAGAGCATGAGTCAGGATAAGGAAAATATGTAATTTTTTGAGTAAAATTGATATTTTATACTTATCCTGACTCATGAGGTCAGCCCTCCCATCCTCCCCAAATAACACTTTGGATTTCCCTGTAAATTCAAATGTTGGGCTCAGTATATGAGGAGAGAGTGAGGCACATGGGTAGAGGTGGCGCCCTCGTTCACGCGCTTGTGGAAGGGAGGTAACTCGTGGTGTACTAATTAGTGATTTTACATTGAAGGGAACTTCAATTAGGGAGATACAAGTGTTCCACTATGTTAGCAGGAGGAAGGAGACAAGCAAAAGAGCATGAGTCAGGATAAGTATAAAATATCAATTTTACTCAAAAAATTACATGTTTTATATTATCATTTACTTTTTTTTATATTTCAATAATTTACTTATCCCCACTTACTCAAAATTGGCTTATGTCAAAATCATTACTATATTCGAAACTTTAACTAAATACCCAGTTTTTTTTTGGATGTCCATATCCATTCAAAAATTTATTTCCTCACTCATGGCTTTAAATATGGCATCCATGTCGGCGACATTAACTTAACAGTTGGAAGCAGACGTAAACATCAACACAACAGAACAACCCAACACAATATCTGTATCAAATGCTGTATCATCTATCATTCCACTATATTGCCTTATTCTATATTCAAAAGACAAGGTTTGATGAGGGGTATACTTGGCCCATGGATATCTGAATCATATTTCATTCACCCAAAGTGATTATGGATTAGTAAAGAAGCTTATGTGAATAATGTTCCATTACATTTATACATAAATACAACAAATATTAGATAATAAACAGCATGATAAGAGAGAAAGCAACCTGTGTATATTACATCTTGGTTACCCATCAAATGTGCGATTGAATGTTTACATCTTATGGTTGACAGATGAATCTGTGTTCATAGGAATGGCGGCAGGAGCAGGATGGATTTAGAGATATATGCCGTTCAAACATGTATGCATTCAAATCACTACACCCAATTGCAAGTCAGAGGCAAAAATGGACTATTTAGCAAAAATGTGTACCAAAATATAAGTCAAACCTACTGTCGCCTGAAGTAGCCTAGCTAGGCCAGAATCTCCCCCTTTTGATATAAGAGCAAGGGGTGGGGAAGAAGTAGCCTAGCAAGGCCAGAAACTCCCCACTTTTCATAGAAAACAGAACAAAATATCCTAGCTTAAACAGGGGAAAGTTTGGCCGGAGAGAGACTTTAGCCTAGCCCAATCTTTCCCCAGCGTAAGAATATCCTAGGACAAAACCTCCCCAGGGAAAGTTTAGACCGGGGAAGAAATGGCCTGCTACACCGGCATGTTACGGTTGCTGAACTAATCCGTTGTTGTTTCAACTATGGGGGTCGTATCAAATATCCATGTACAATTTACAAGGAGTGCCAGGTGTAGGGTCTTCTCTGACCATCTGCTTGAGATTAGAAACAAAACTATCTACAGCGATCTTGGTATCATCTGTAGGATGGTTGTGGGCCTGACCTTGATAGTCACAAGGTCATCTTTGGTGTTGCCGGTTGAAGTACAGCCTGGTGTTGAGCATATCCAATGGATGCTATTTTGTCAAATAGTAAACTTTCGCTCACTCAAGACAAGATTACAATTGTCCGATTTGAACCCTCTCAGGAATTTCTGAATTTCGCTCACCTATGATTAGGAGATGTCCCCCATAATCGCCCATTGTCTAAGGTTTAGCACGCTTCATTGCTTTGCCTACCTTAGACAATACCTGCCAGCATTCAGGGAAGTACCCGTTTTTATGCTACAAACAAGAAAAGAACTTCATTAGAGGACTGCAAGATGACTTAATAGGCAAGTGCTTTGTTACACAATCAGAATCAATTGCTGGTTATATCTTAATGAGCTTCTAACATTAGCTATTCGCGGCGTGGAAGCAGGGATTTACACATAAAAATTGACAATGGACGCAACGACAATGGACGCAACCAAATTTATTAGGGCCTTCACAGGGATTGCAGAAAAAGTCCAAATACTTTTTTGTAAAATTCCAATCAAGTAACAATAGGTTATCACGGAGTTTTCAACTAGCTGGGTTATGGTATCATTTGCAATTTAATTACTGTAACAATGTGATGATCATGATACACAATACCATAACAGTAACGGAATTACAAAAATGTTACAACATAGTATTAATAATAATATTTAAGTGTCTAGGACCCCCATTTTGTAGTCCAGGACCCCTGAAAATTAAGAGTATGAGTCCCAGGGACCCTCAAATACAGGACTCAAGGTAAATCCCTGGTGGAAGTGAAACAACACAATGGGAACAAGGTTTTGAGAGAAAAAATAACAGTTGCTACGTGAAAAAGAAAATATCCATGGTTAATTTTGAATAAAAAAGACAATCTTGTGGTGTTATGTTGTAGGGTGTGTCTGGCAGAAAAGACAAATCTAAATTTGACATCTGCATGGATGGATGAACGTTTGCCGACTGTACAAATTTCAAGTATTGTTCGTCACAATGAAAGTGTTGATCATAAAAGGAATGTTAACAAGAGTGAACAGATTTAGCCATTCAGCTTTTGAAAAATACAGCATAAATACGTATCCAAAGTCAAGTGCCCTTGTCCAACTAACAAATAGTTTATCAAGTTGTTTCAGTTGTATTTGGAACTAAACACTGATAAATATTCAAATATGTCTCATTTTGTTAAGTTAATACAGTTAATGAAGTGAAGTGATGACAGATGTCATTGATCTTCTCATTTATTTGACTATGTTTGTTTCAGTGTTTGTTATCAATGTGCCAGCTATGGCAGATTTATATCATGAACTCAGTGCTGTAAGTGGTGTAAATGTTAATCTAGTAATGAAACAAAGTTTAAAAGAAACTACTGGTAACTGTTAGAGTGAAAACTAGGCTGTTATATCATCTAACAGCGATCTTGGTACCTTTTTTACACCAAAACGGATATAGACTAAGACACATAAATTTTTTTACAGCACATCTGGTTAAATCTGTTTTATTTATTCATCTTTAACCAGGAGGATTTTGTCTTATCTCTATTATTGAATAAAAAATGTCGCACCTCTTAAACTTATTTGAAATGAATTTAAAAAATATGGTGGGTATCAGACAGTATAGATACACTCTTGAAATTGGAAATACCCACTTAGTTTCAAAACTATGGGTATCATACTACCCACATGGCCAAAAACTTATTATCTGGAGCTCTGTAACATCAATCTGTGTCAGTAAGGTACATATACAGTCTCTCATATATTTTGAAGGGTCAGCTGATTTAGCCTGTGCCGATATTCCCCTCCTGTAGTTTTGCAAAACCAAATTTGCTTCTATTGTTCACAATTATTATAAGTTTGCAAAATACAATACTATGATGAACTGGTCCACTGTAGCTTAATTTCTATTATGTTTCTTATAAATATAAGGCCAGGCCAATTTTATTTCTTGTTTTACGGATCCGCCTGTCATATTTTTTCCACAAAAATCTGTAAAACAAGAAATAAAATTGGTCTGGCCTCATGAGCAAAATCCACTTCATGAATAATATACCTTATATAGTATTACATATATTACAACTGTTCAACTTTCAAAGTTAAAATTACAGCCAGATGTTCACAACTACATAACAGATCTTGTGAAAATGCAGTGATGATTCGGGGACAATAAAAGTTGTTAACACACTCACCAAATTCAATATTCTCCATGTTAAAGGTTAATGTCAAGTCAATAGGTCTTATCAATATCTTCTTTATTTAATAACTGCCACAAGGCCACACTTGGCACATGTATGGAAGCTCTGGAATTCTGACATTTCACTTAAAAGGACCTAAATACATTATATATGCAATTGTCATGCGTGCAGGGCCACTGCCAATTTTACAGCTACTAAATCTTCATAATGTTATTGATGTTTCATATAGCACAATCAACTAAGCAGATTTAACAGAAAACATATTAATAGATACACTGATCATAGTCACAACAGCAGCATCAAAATCAATACTAAAGCTTCTTTTGCCTTCAGCACAGAAATGAGCTTGTTCCTAAAGGGACTATGTTTTTCATGCTTGTGGTTAAACACTGTCTTTTCTCGCCATTTTCAGCAGTTGAACCTGGAGATGACTAATATGTGGTTGAGCTCAGTGGTCCAAAGACATTTTTCTAGATTCTGCCTCATGTTTCTGAAACAGTCATGGCTGAAGTTGCAGACAATAAGTGGTCACAAAGAACATTGTGTAGCCAAGAAATAATATGTCCTTGTTTCCAGTAAACAAGTCGAGCCATCCTTTCTCTTGCCACTCTGAATGATTTTATCACACCTACATGTTGGAAGCTCATCAAATAAATACCATTTGTCCCTGTAAGCACCCCTCACTGTTTGTAAAGAGCGTGTTAGCTGAATCACTTTTCAATCTACCAGTAATCAAATTAATCAAATATAACATACAAAAAGAAAAGAAAATGAAATGTGTTTGAAAAAATATTTCCAGCATTACATCTTGTTTATGTAAAACTCTAATATCATTTGAACTGTTCAGCTGGTGCACTAAAGTTGTTGTTTTTATGGACTCCAATGACAGGGGCCTACTTTTTTATGACAAAAGTAAAGGGTGGATACATACATACAAAACAACCAAATCTTCTGAACTTATTCTCCTCTTTATGTCCAACTGATTACGGATCAAACACATATTTCTGTTAATATTGTTTGTTTCTTTCCAGCTATCAACTGTCTGTCTTAACGACCTTCAATATGGACTGTACTTGATCAGGAAATCCTGCAAAAGCAAATCAAGGACAGTGTCAGTACATTGAAGACAAAACAATATAGAAATGTCACTTCCCAAAAGTCTAGCCAACGAGGCAACATGATCATATGAAATATTCATCTGTTTACCAATTGACTGCTAGATCTAAACAGCCAGGAGGACTTCAATAAACTGCCATGAAGAGGAAGTATGTGCAAGCAAAACTATATCCACTGTCTCACAGCGCCAGTCATTCATCTTAACCTCTCTGGTTTTCTTTCCATTTCAACAAGAAGACAAAGTCATCAACATCCCCCACAACGACAAAATACTCTTTATGAATATGTCTACTAGTTATGATTACGTCAAATGTTTTGGAGTGTATACAGCAAAGTGGAAGGAGAGTACTGAAAGGTTTTTAAGATCTGCTCCAGAATTGAGCACTACCACCAAATTCAGTTGAAGCCTAACTTGTTGCCATGAAAATACAAAAAGATGACATCCTCATAGTCACAGCCTAAGTCATGTTTCCATGGAAACCACAAAAAAATAAAATTCATAACTGGGTCTAAACCCCAAAAGGCACATCTAGGGATCATGCTTGATATGTGTACCAAGTTTGATGAAGCTAGCATGTATAGTTTGGAAGATCTGCTCCGGACAAAATGACATCCTCATAGTCACAGCCTAAGTCACGTTTCCATGGAAACCAAAAAATAAAATTCATATCTGGGTCTAACCCCCAAAAGGCACATCTAGGGATCATGCTTGATATGTGTACCAGTTTGATGAAGCTAGCACATATAGTTTAGGAAATCTGCTCCGGACAAGATGACATCCTCATAGTCACAGCCTAAGTCACGTTTCCATGGAAACCACAAAAAATAAATTTCGCATCTGGGTCTAACCCCCAAAAGGCACATCCAGGCATCATGCTTGATATGTGTACCAAGTTTGGTTACGCTATCACAAATAGTTTAGGAGATATGCTTCGGACAAAGTGTGATGGACGCACGAACGGACGGAACTCGTTTCTAGATCCCCCGTTACTTCATTGTTGGGGGGATAAAAACATCTGAGGACTGCATTTTAAAACATTTAATGCTTGACTTGATATTTACAAGTCATTCAACAGATGACATGTGGTGATATGTCAATGGTTATTTTCTTGAGTTGATTGTACAACTTAGATATTTTTAAACCCCTGACAGGTACTAAAAGTATATACTTTACATTACTGTTTAAATCAATGCCACCTGCATAGATTACATAATACACTTAGCCAATGATCCGTTTTTCATCTTAGAGGGTAGTATATCCCACATATGTCCATGCAATGAAGCAAACAATTTTTTTCATTCTGCTGTTTTGCAATTAAGTTTGAGTGCAGGCAACAGCTGAACAAGTTTAATCAAAATCTCTATTAAGTGCCACTGATCTATCCCACAGTACACAGTAGGTACCTCCCTGCAAAACTTCTTGGTGACTACATGTTTTTCAACTGCCTTTTGGATTTGGACTCCAAAACTCGCCACTATGCTCCAGAAAAAAAACATTCTTTAGATATTTTTAGATATTTTCCCAGGTAATAATTAAATCTGAATCAGAAACCTGATTTACATAAGCACCATCTTTCTATTCCATACAATGTCGCTTTGGAAACAAAGAAAATATGTTTTAGGAACCTGGACATTTTACCTTGTCGTGAGCTGTGCCTACAAAGTTCTTGAGGAAGTAGATGTATCTGGCTGCAAACTCAAACACAGTTGCTTTGTCCGTTTTCTCTGACATTCCTGGCACCAGCTGTCTCATTAAGTCACATGCTTCTTTGATTCTAGCCCTGTCATGATAAATATTTTCATTTCTAGATGACAGTAACAGCTCCAGTCTGCAGCTACTACACTGTCCAGTTATGTTACAATATGGAACAACACATGGGAAAGCGTATGCAGGAGTTATCTTTGCAATCAATTATACATGTCTTCAAATTAGCATCTCATGATTTGTTTTCCTAACATGCAAGTATGTGCCATTATCAAGGATGGTTCAGTTTCATTATGTATCCTGAAATGTGGTCTACAGTCAAATTTGAACATGTACCTCCTCTTTCTTTCCTTCATGTTGTGTGACTCTCGCTCCTCATCCATTGCTTGTGGGGAATTCAACAGAGGAAAGCTGGTGGAGTCCTGAACACTGGGATCAACCGGGGAGTCATGACAACTGTATGTTGGGACTGGTGCGTCTTCTGTTGGGCTAGTGTTCTCTTCACCGCTACTATTCAGCACCAAGCTCTGAGAACAAATCTGTAAAATACAATTAATTTTCACTTACACTTTTAAGGGCAAAAAATACCTAATTATAACATATTATTTGCTCTCAAGGTAATTATATCTTGGAAATGACATAAGGCTAGCATCTAAATGATTTCATCAATGTTAAATGTTGAACAAGTGTAGGAAATACTTCAACCCTGGTTGTGGTTACCATGGCCTTCAGTGGTACTGTGGCTATGTCAACATCAGACAAGTTTTCAAGATGCTGCAAGCATTGAATGTAACCACTACTTTTTGCCTAGATGTTTTGGCTTTTAGAAAAATGAACTGAGAACAAAAGTAATATATTCCTTCAAGATGTGGCAAATCATCACATCTGACTCTTATTCTGTCTCCCCCACCCTTGAACATTAATGAGTCCAACCCAAAAATGATTGGGCAAGTCTAGATTGCATCAGCTCCACTCCAACATTAAGAAATGATCTGGGCTCCTTTTGGATTCTTTTTTCTTCTTTAGATATTTGTCTTCAATAACATGACTTTAGTTAAGGGACAAAATATCAGTCTAATGGCAGAGGTACCTGGTTGACTGCAAGGAACTCTGGGTAGGACAGTGTGTTCAGTTCAAGGGGACAAAATAGGGGTACCCGCCTAGCTTAAGTGCCAGCCTATTTATGTTATAGTTTTATTGCAAATGAGAAAAAAAAAAATTTCCAGAGGAGAATATTTCATTTGAATGAATTTCCTTGGTGTGCATTATGATGTGCCTCTTCAAAGTTAAACATCAATTTTTTATACTGTTTGTGTTCAATTGAAACAGTCCCTAGGTTCAACATGTCCAGATAGCCAAGAGCAGCCACAAATTCACTGATCCAAATTTGAACTAACATAGGGGGACAGCCACTAAAAAGCATGATTTTCAAGTCCCTGGCATACCTTCAGATACGATAAACTGACCTGACTAGCAGACTGATGATAAAGTGCATATAAAGTTATAGTTCTTATAACAGAGACAGTGTTTCCGGTGAGTTTCGAATTTACCAGTCCATGGGACTGGTAAGCCTCAAATATACCAGTCCCTTATTATTTTCACCAGTCCACTTCTTTTCCATGTTAAATAAAGATAACAACAAGAATGTGTGTGTGTGTTTGTGTTTCATTTTTAACTCTTTCAACACCAGTCAACCAGAGGCATTTACTGCCGTGACACCGAGTTCCCAGAGACCCTGAGGTCATAGATGAAGCCTATGTTTATGAAGGAAATTATAAGCTTGTAAAACGTTATTGCTACTACATCCCATACACCATTTAAAAGATCTAATCCTACTGTTGATAAATATGAAGTTTATTTTTATAATATTATTCAAATAATACAACTACAACTTAAATAAATGTATTTTTGAATGAAAATGCAAGCTTACATTTATAACGTCCAGATAAACCACGAAAAAGCAAAAACTATGGCGATTTTTTTCCATTTGTGACATGTGATAACATGTCCGTGCCTTTTCTTTTATATTTTCATTTTCGTCATCAGAAAATGATTATAAAAGATTTCTTAAATAATATGTATGGTCAGCCTATTTCCCGATATCTGTGGCTTTCCGCTCGGTAACATGACATAACAACGGAAAATACCTCCGTTTTGAAGCTTCATTATGCATAACATGCGGCGTGAATCGTTTGATGTCGGGCATCGTTCGAAAGCTCTCATGGCTCTGAACATCAACAATATCACTGTACCCTTGCCAAGAGTATTTTCACAGTTGTAAGAAGCGATTTTATTGGATAAACATTGGTTTCTAATGGCGGCTTTTAGCCACAGTCTGCTATAAGGGTTAGGTGGTTGGTCAAAATCGGACAAGTGACCTAAGGCAGCCAATCATATTACAGTAATGGATACGTCCTCGTCGAAACGAAAACCTTCAGATTTAGACAAAAGTTTTGGGTAAAATAATGCTATTCTGAACATATTAAGCAAGAAATGCGCTACCTGTACGTAAATTATGGAACTTATTGGACGTATCGTGCTAGGTTATGACCTGTGACAAAATGCTTCATGTATATATTTTTCGCATTAAACATCGTGTCCGGTGAAAGATTGGTGAGCGAGATGTCACTCGTCAGTGACTTGACTTACATTACATGATCGCACAAAAGATGGAAATAGTAATTTTGTATGTACGTTTGACAACTTTTATGAATGTTGTTGTTGATTTTATTCATTAGTTTATTCAATTTATTTAATGAATTCCTCGAAACATCGTTACTTTGCTCTTTGACAATGTTATTGTAGACCAGCTGCGAAGCATGTGTCCGAGAATCGTTGTTTTCAAGAACATTCGCGAAAAATAGTTTATAATTTTAATTCTGATGATAATATATGATAAATTGAAATTTAATAAGTGTTTTCAGACATTGTGAAATGTGATAGATTTGATATATGAATCAAAAGTCAGGTAGGTTCCTAAAATTATGTCTCATTTTGGCGTTGTGGCGATTATTGACCTCGCGATTGATTGAATAGGTTAATATGTCCATTCCCCATCGTAAAGTTGTCTTACTATTGGCCCCGATAGAGTATTGAAATCTGATGCATTATAACCTCAGCCAAAATGCCTCTCATCTGGATCGAGGCTAAGCGAGGCGATCCAGCCAATGACAATAATCGCTTGGGACTGTTACTAAAAATAGACACGGAATTCCTTACACGTATCGCATATGGTGCAGATCGAATTTACATGGAAGTTTCCTTTATCTAACAGTTGCTGGTAATTTGTATTGCCAATTTGGAGGAAATGATTTAACCGGGTGTATTTATTGCCGGTCCCCAGGACTTGTTTGCCATAAATATGCCGGTCCTTTGATTTTTTAACCGGTAAAATACCGGCATATGCCGGTAGACGGAAACACTGAGAGAGAGTACCTATATTCACATACATGCTCTTCTATGGCACCCATTGAGCCCACTTCATTTTGAACACAGCCAGTTGTCTTTCTTAATTTTGGAATTACCAGTCTTACCTGTGATACTGGGGTGTAGTTGGTTGACATGTTTGGTTTGTTTACCAGCAGAGGAGTGACAGCTTGGACATTAGCTTGGAGAGACTCAGGGGTCATGGAATTAGGCTCTGCGATGTACATGATCTGACCACTTCGTGGATGAGGGGTGTACACATAGTTGCTGTTGCTACTGGACTTGGTGAGGGTTTGATGGTTGATGGGCGTGGTAGTCATGCTCTGATGGTCTGATACCATAGTTTGCACTGTTGTCTTTGGTATAGACAACACACTGACTGTCTGAAGTTGATTCTGCATATGTTGATGCTGCCTCCTGGACACAGGTGTTGTCACTATGTTATCTCCTGGCAGGATCTCATACCTTTTAAGAACAAACTCACACAAATGACATTCAAGGAGAGAAACAACTTGAAAATTGGTTCCTCAGAAGAAATACAATATATTGACAACCAGCGTGAGTCGCAAATCGCAAATGAAACCCAAATATAAATTGTGACACAGTGCTGTGATTCACCAACAGATATTGAAACGGATGTGGAGTCAGCGAGGGTGCAGCCTACAGGGACTTTTAAGTCTGAATCCTGGGACCCCTTGAATTGTTTTTCTTTGAGAACCCCCATCAATAAATGTTATGGGTCCTTGCTGGTAATGTGAGCAGGGCTCCAGATAAGGGTCTTATCGGCGTATGTACGGATAAAAAATATGCACGGTACGGTAGGAAATAATTTGGAAAACGTAGCAGATATGCACCACTGCAATGGTGTACGGTCTTAGAATCATTAACAGTTGTATTTATCGAAAAAACATATTGTTTTATTGTTCATTGACCTGTTTACACAAGAGTAGCAATGTTGTGGTGCATACATGAAACGAAACACAAGATTACTGATACTCCATTAAATTCCATTCAGTACTCTAAATGTACTATTAATGTTTTCCAGTACTCTTATATTGATAAAATAAGGAGTATGTACTCCTGATTTTGAAAAATTATCTGGAGCCCTGTATGAGGGTCCTGTAAAGTCTTGAAATGGTGTAGTGTAGTGTACATTCAGATAATTACTTCGGGGCCTTAAATGACCACATGGACAGTGACCAAGAGTGATTGGTGAAATAACAGACACAGATAACTAGTTTTGATGAATTGATAGAAAACTCTCTGAATTTTTAGGCATCTCAGCGGATGCTGTGTTTTGTGTTTTCTGTGTCCATTCTCTACATTTGTGCATCATGTGAAACCCTGCTAGTCAACAGATTGGCATTTCACATGATATTCTAGTATTTTTGTATAAATACACAAGACTAAATCCAAGATAACAAAATATGATGGACACTGGTTCAAACACTACTTCTGAGGCCCCAACAATACATAGGTAAAGATAAGATGTATAAAAGATATTCTCACCATCCTGTGTCGCCCATGGCCGACATCATTTGCAGATGGGTTGGATTCATCTGATGTGTGCTGTCCTGACTATCTGTGCTGGGAGACTTAACAGTAAACGCTGGAGACTCACTTTCAAGTTCCAAGCCTGTTGTCACCGTATGTATTCTGTGACAGAGAAACTTAATGAAAGCATTTTTCAATACACTTGTTTGCCATCCAACTTGTTAACAGGTTTGGTGTTTACTTGTGCACTGTTTAATGCCACACTCAGCAATATGTGAGCTAAATAATCAGATCTGGACCAAACAAAACCATTGATTGATAACAATGATACAATTAACCACTCCATGACCATTTGAGTCACATTTTTGTCACAGCGTTGCCTCATATAAGCTTATATACAGATATCACTCATTCTCAATAAACCGTTGCATTGATGTCTCTGGTTATTTATCCTAAAACAACAGTGCCCTTGATTAATCTAATGATTGGATTAAATGTAGTGCTACTTGGGTGTACTAAAGCAGGCACCCATTCAGTTTATTTATGTAAACTTCAACAGCGCAAGGGAAGGATATTACTGATTTTGTAATGTACGTTACTGTCTCCAGGCTGAACTGACAAAAGTCATTGGCTTTGTTTTAATAAATTATGCAATAAATATCATAACTAAAATACTATTATGATATACGAGATATGTGACAATCCATTTCTATTCAGCTCCAATGATGTGATCGTTCTGCGGATTTTGCAGAGTATGTTATAACTGTGTCTCCAGTTTTCATGCAGCACACGACTAACTTCATAAATACAATGACGCAAACAATATTTACGGAGTAAAAACAATTATTTGGGTTTATTTTAAGTGATAATAATGTTCTTTACAAGAAAACAATATTTGGTTCTTAGATAAGAATCGTTTAATGTTTCTACACTCATTTTATGTGTCATTATTCAATGGTTATGGTTAAGGATGTAACGTACGTGACAACCAACTGTTCCTCAACTTGAGATTAAATAAATATAGGTCATTATTTGAATAATGCATGAAGTTGTTTTTATGCAATATGTCATAAAATGTGTCAAGTTCGACAAAAAATGGGATCAATAAGGACAAACTTGTACATGACAGAAATGTACGTTACCGTAATGTACGTTACCATCAGATACCAAACTGCCAACAACGGGGCGCTGAACGTGAAACAGCTTGGTTTGAAACACGTGGAGTGACGTAACCATATTGCGTACGTCATTAGAACGTACGACAGCCGACCATATCTTACGACTTAAAAGATTATCAACAAATTTTGGTAAGTGCTTTGGGTGTCTTTTGTCAGGATAATATGAGGGTGACTAAATATCTGAAAAGTTACTTTATCTACACATTGTTTCCTCATCTGTAGCCCGTACTTTCTGAAAAAATGTCAATTTGGTGAATCTTATGCAAAATACGTCGTATTGGTGTTACTGGATAAGTGTAATGTTCGTTACAATTGGTAACGTACATTTCACCGAATTGTCAAATGAAATTTCAGTGATACTTGTATATCTTGCGAAGTAAATGTTGTCTTTTGAAGGACATGTTGACAACTCTATTCATTCATACTTATACCATTCTTGTTTGCATTAAGATCCATGGAAACCTCCATAATATATAATTACCACTGTTAGTCCTTGTTGATAGTATCATGACACATTTCCTGACAGTGTGCTGAACTAACATATTGTCAAGCTGATGTTATTATATCAGTGTGCACATAGATTTACTCTGTCTACTACTTAAGCTATTTAACCTGTATTTATGTTAATCTGTTACTAAGAAACACATGGAAAACATCTGGTAACGTACATTTCTTCGAGAAGCAAGAAATATATGTTTCAGTGGCCCAAACGCGAAGATGTAATCTGGGTGTCGCGATCAGATATTTTGCGTAAAGTAGATGATCTAGTTCCTACTGGCAAGTCTCAGAGAATGCTGAGCGAGTGAGTGAGTTAAGATTTAAAGTCACATCGGCAATATTTCAGCCATACCCTGACTACCAACAAGCAATAATTTAGACTAAATAAAGGTAAATCAGCGAAGGACAGTAAATCCAACTAGAATATCACAGATATAAGTATATAACTAGTATGTAATTCTAAAACAGCTGAATTACAGAAGACAATACAATACGGGCACGGGCTAGACAGCGCCAACAACTGAAGGTAGACCACCATACTAGGAACCATGGGGACTTACAGTGCTTTTGCTACCTGCATGGACCCTAGCTAGATTTACACCACCCCTTCAGCCACTGACGACTGTAAGAAAATTCAGCCATAATTTAAAATAACAAAAATACCTTATTTAAAAAGGTGGAAAGTTGAAATTGACTTCGAAGTTTTTGGGACTTCTGTATCCTCTCAAGAGGACAATGATGTTACGATACTTTAACCCCCTTTGAGGATACAGCCACTAATAATCGTAGTTCACTGTTGCTAATTTAAAATACCATTTATAAAATATCATATATGTATTCACAAAACATATGGTTCAGTATTTATCTAGTAATTCTATTTCCTTTACAAAAACAATAATTAAATGATAATTATTATTATAAAAAGATCCTTGATTGTTTTGACATTGAAATATTTGTCCCTTGTGATGGAAAAAATAAATAGTCAAGCAGGACATGCTTGACCGTGATTCTCTCATCACAAGGGATACAAAAGGCAGGATCATCACCTTTTAACAGGTATTCATGAGTATATTTTGTATGGCCAATGCGACATCTTCAAATCTGGACTGACAACCCAAGTAGGTGAAACCAATATAGTGTTTTATGGCATGTAATGTATTGATACCTATTTGAGTGTCCCACTTCTTCTGCATCAGATCGCGGATGTACGATCTAATGACAGCTTTGTATGGAATGAGAAGTGGTGTCACAGATTTGTTGAGTGCTGCCTTAGCAGCAAACTCAGCCATTGTGTTACAGAGAATGTTGAAGTTGGATGAAAACGAAATAAAGTTGGTTGTGCAGGCATTTCAATCCTGGATAGATTCACTGTAATGTACATTACTTGAAACGGAAGTGTTGGTCACATATTGTGGAACAATTATTTGTTCAAGTTAATTTGCATTATTGCAGTTTGAGTTCTTTGCTACATAAGAGTAATTGCGTCAAGCAAAATCAAAACATTTTGATATATGTGTTGAATACATCGACTTATTGTTTTTAAATGAAATGTACATTACCTCTTTATGATTTTAAATTGTCAGTCTAATCTTTTGGATTTCATGTCAATTACCTTTAACATAGTACGGAAACACATCTACTGTATTTTTGAGGTGTCAGGAGTATATTTTATATGTGCAAGTCACATTTGACATTATACTCAATTCATTGTAATGTACGTTACAGTTTACATCATTCTGAGTTGGGTGGATAAGCTGTGAACACAATAGTTTAAACGTTTTTTCTAGTCATTCATTTTCTTAGCTATGAGTTGGGTTGCATTTCCGTGGACATGTTCTTGCTTTCTTGCAACCAGACAATGCTAATATTAGATGCCTTCAACAAGATGAACTAGAAAACTGCAACATGATGTGTTGGTATGTTCATTACACCCCAGTTGTAAGTGACACGTCACATTTATTGGGGTATGTGAATCAGTTTTGATCCGTTTAGGTCTAACTGTCATGTCTCGTACATTTATTTGTATACTGATACTAATGAGTTAACCAGAACTTTCTTCAAAGACTGATAGGCTGCTGGTAACGTACATTACATGTTCCAAATTTGCTGATTAGTACTGGTAAAGTTGGATGGAGATTTCTGAATAAAGGAATTGACTTTATATGCTATTTTTTTCTGTTCTGTATACTTGAAAACCTTTATAACAAAGACAACGTCTTTTAATTCCAACTGCGTGACATTTATATTTTTCAATTTGCGAGTGGTAAATGCAACGGTTTATTGAGAATGGGTGATATACGGCTAACCAAACAGACCAGCAGAACGAAGTAGCACACACGTACAGTAAAGGATAAATTTAGTCCATTGTATTAGTTTTTCACAAATCTAGTCCTACACTCTTCTAGCAGAAGATATTTTCTTCTAAAAGGGTAAAAATACAGCCATGAATTTAAGGAAATTTGGAAATCCTGACCATAGTGAGAATAAATGTATATCCTGTAGATGTATTTTGATGATGAGTTTGTTCAACTGTAACTTAAGTATTAAAGAGCTAACAAACATCACAAGTATTACACTAAGCACTTAAAAAGATACATAATAACATTTATCAATGGTCTCATGTCATAAACATCATCACATGGTATTTATGTTAAAACACATATTTCACTGTGTACCCTATATAAGTACTTACACAATAGTGAAATATACTAATGTAACAATGCCATTGGCACCCTAGTATGTCAAGAATTTCAAACTCTGAATACATACCCATTTATTATCTCTATTTTCATCCTTTTGGGTGTGTCCTGCCCACTCAAATCCCTCCTAATATCACAATCTGCAGTTCCCTCAATATTTGGTTCATAGGGCAATTTAATCAGATTTTCATTGTCTTCCAGCAACTTTTCATGAAAATGAATATCCGTCTGATGATCTGAATCTGATGTAAATTCCGAAAAGTCATCGAATCTCCCGTCTTCTGATTTTGTTGGTGAGTTTTCTCCCAGTTCAAGGTCAATAATGTTTCGTTGCATTCGTCTTGGTGACATGTGTTTCCTTTTTGTGTCAGATGACAACTGCCCGTCACTTACGTGATTGAACATTTCAGAGGAAAATTCAGTCATTTTCAGTTTGTATTTTGGTAATTCCTCGGATGACTTCTCAACTTCAAAAGCCTGGTCTGGGCTAAAAATATATGAAAAAAGTAAAAGCCTTTTCACTATCATTTACACCATCAATATCATTGGTAGCAATCAAATCTAGATTTTCGAAAGAAGCGTTCAGGAACGCAAGTGTATGAATTTAATCAGTTCCAACGGAAAGATATTGACACATTCAGAATAATGCACACAATCGCCAACAGATAAATTTAGTTCATCAATTTCATTCGAAAGCTGGCGATACCTTCCTGGGTCATGGAAGTTTCGCACGACCGAATATATTCCTCATTAATTTAATCATGCCTCTTTCCGAAAAATATTCCAAAGGATACGTAAATAGTCAGTACCATCCGTAGGAAGTCTGGATCTGATGTGATTGAGGGTAACTGTACGATTTTCGGTGGCGGGACTTGCTGTTAGATTACGTGCTCCTCACGACTTCCGAACGCGCCGAGCTCGTCTGCTGCTTGGCACTATGACGTCATTGTCACATGATCGGACGAGCACTTGTCACATGACATTGACGAGAGCAAAACCCAGAAAGGGGAGGTGCACAGTTCATTTTCACCCGTTTTCACGAGTTTCAGTGGTCATTTAAAAAAACTTTCAGGACAAAAGAGGGGTTGCGTACCCCTGCACCCCCCTCTGGATCCGCCTATGTAAACCTTTAGTGATTGTCGGTCCCGTATAATGTCAACAATTAACCCGTGAAGGTCTTCAGCAACCCATGCTTGTCGTACCATTGGCGACTAACAGGATCGGGTGGTAAGGTTCGTTTGACCTTGGGAACACACACACATACACACACACACACACACACACCCCAAACCATCATATCACCCCACCCCCAGGGGCGGATACAGCTTTTTGAGAAAGGGGGTTGCACACTATTGAGAAAAGGAGGGGTGCACACTTCATTTTCACCCGAGTTTCAATGGTCATTTAACAAACTTTCAGCACAAAGGGGCCTTTGCCCCACCCCCTTACAGACTGCCACCATATGGCTGAAATATTGCTGAGTGCGGTGTTAAACAACAGACTCTAACTAATTTCAACAAACACTATCGATAGCCAGTAGATGTTCACGAGATCTTTAATATTGAGGAAACTGCCTTACTTGCAGATATAAAAGATACCCTGAAATACATATATGATTACATAATAAAAACAAGTATAATAAAAAAAAGGTCCACCCTTATTAATATCAGTCTTTCTACAACAGGTAATGCATTGGGAACATACCAGAGGTGAGTGTGCGTGTACATGCGTGTGTATGCGTGCGTGTGCGTGCATGTATGCAGAGTATCACAAGGTCAGACTCTGGCGTTTGCATGCCAAAAGGTAGATCTTTATTCAGTCTACTCTACACCAGAAACATGACCCGTTCTTGACTGCATTTAGAAACTGGAAACGTAATTATGGCGACCCCTTAATGAAGAATCTACGTATTCCAGCAAGAAGTATATCCTCACAGAAAAAAAATAACTGTGCGTTTAATAAACAGTAAATTATCGGGATAGAACATATTATAATCAGCAGTGAGGTTGTCCAGGTAGGAAACATCATTGCCATTGAGCTCGAGTTAAAGAGTTCTGTTCTCCCACGTTTTGAAGCTATAACCACACTCAGGGCGACCTGTGAAGATCCGAGTTAGAATTGATCTTCAGTATATATAACCCATGCTTGTCGCAAGGCGACTAACGGGATCGGGTGGTCAGGCTCGTTGACTTGGTTGACACATGTCATCGTATCCCAATTGCGTAAACCGACGCTCATGATATTGATCAATGGATTGCCTGGTCCAGACTCGATTATTTACAAACCGCCACCGTAGAACTGGAATATTGTTGACTGCCGCGTTAAATTAAACAACCAACAAACAAACATCCAACTTTCACCCCCAGATTGACGCAAGCGTCATTAATACGTCTCCAGGACGCCTGGAGAGTGGGGACCCTTGCACGGCCATCAGAGATGCACAGGGATAAAATCTCTATTTAGCATTACGGACCAGTCTTGTCTCCTGAATCCCAAGACAAGTTTATTTTTCTCAAAAGCCACCCACGATGGTACAAGAGCAATAGGATATACAGATGCTACCAAACAGACAAGAATGGTGATATCAGTAGGATTGATTATTTCAACTTTTCAAAATAAATATTTAGATATTTCGACAGGTTCTTCAATTCTGACACTTTTCTTGTACAGATTAAACGTTTATATTTGTACCTATTTGGCCATTTAAAATATATTTCCTTTATATAAAGACGACGTTCTGTTTCAAAGGCTGTACATCTGAATAAGTAGTGTACTTCATCTGCAATGGCTTGAGAATCGCACAGAGGACATGTTCTGTCCTCACGGGATAGGCCACGCCATCTGCCGGTTTCTACTAAAAGAATTGTGGTTACCTGTTCTTAATTTCAAAAGCGGGAGATGATTTTTCGAGAAGAAAAAATTGTTCGAAAGACGGGATTTCTTTAATTGGTTTATAATTAATTCCTTTAGAGCTATTAATAACAGAACTTCTCCAGGATTGGTAGAAATGATCTCTTAAGGTAATTTCTACCTGTGATGAAACCCATTAACCCAATGGAGCATATCTGGGACATGGTTGGTGGTCTTGCGCAAAAAAAGGGATCCTCCTGTACAGAACCTGGCCTAATTAGAAGCTGATTTACACGAGGAATGGCACAGACTGGCCCTTCAGAGGATCAGGAGGCTGACAGGGGGTATGGGGAGGAGAGGGCTGGATGTCATACAGTCTCATGGAGATTACACTCGGTATTGACCTTGATTCGTGTAAGACACGCAACTTGACATTTCGACTGTTCACATTCACCAATAAATTCAGCATAAACATGCCAGGGCCACACTTGTACATACGTGGTTTTGTATGAAAATCAGTGCTTTTGGGGGGGTTATTTAAACGAGCAATTATCATCATAAAATCAGCATGTTGGATTCAGTCATTTTGTCAAAGGATGCATGCGGGTCAGAAAAACTCATGTTTTTCCATCGTGGTCACCAAGAGAAGTTTTATGTATCATATCAGAGGCTATAAGCGTATCAAAGCAAAAATACATAGGGTGCCTAATTAAGTTCTTTGTGTATATTACGGAACACGGGGTAATAAGCTCGATCACATCACTGAGATGTCAAACGGCGACCTTGTCTCGGCTGTTCGGACATGTTGACAATCAGCTGACAAAGGCGCACCCCCTTCACAGTAATAGACACAACCAGTTGTGACACGGTCACGCAATACATGTACATTAGTATTTACTTGATCAGGTCAAGCTGAACAATCTGTAGTATTGTACACGCGATTTGCCAGGCCATTGTTTGTGCAATGGAAATCAACCATCGGCACTTCAAACTGACCGAAAACGCATTTATAAGAGAAATACATTGAAAGTAAATAATATTTTATTCATCAACAAAATATGTAACACAAACGAAAACAACTTTACCGTCTTCTACAAGACATACAGTTATAAACATAAGCCATTCTTGTGTAAAATACAGTTGTAAGGAGACGTTAGTCAGCTGGAGTGAGTAAGTGAGTGAGTGGGTTTGACGCCGCTTTGAGAAATATCACGGCGGCTGGCGCAAGAAATGGCCTTTCAATATTTTACACATGTGGGGAATCGACCCAGGTAGTCGGTGGAACGGGCGGGCGCTTAATCATCAGGGCCCCATAACACACATACAAGAGCCAGAAGTCTGTTAAACAAAATGATGCACCTCACTGTACCTAGGTACTATGTTTCTCGATTGTCTTGTACAGCATGCTGTTTCTCGGTAGTCCTGTACGGTACACTGTTTCTCGACTGTCTTGCACTGTTCACTCCTTCTTGATTGTCTTGTACGGTACGCTGTTTCTCTATTGTCTTGTACGGTACCTTGTTTAACGATTGTACTGTGGAGTACGCTGTTTCTCGATTGTACTGTACAGTACGCTGATTCTCGATTGTCTTGTATCTTGTACGTTGTTTCTCGATTGTACTGTACAGTACGCTGATTCTCGATTGTACTGTATAGTACGCTGTTTCTCGATTGTACTGTACAGTACGCTGATTCTCGATTGTCTTGTATCTTGTACGTTGTTTCTCGACTGTACTGTACAGTACGCTGTTTCTCTATTGTACTGTACGGTACGCTGTTTCTCGATTGTACAGTACGGTACGCTGTTTCTCTATTGTTCAGTATGGTACGCTGTTTCTCTATTGTTCAGTACGGTACGCTGTTTCTCGATTGTACAGTACGGTACGCTGTTTCTCGATTGTACTGTACGGTATGCTGTTTCTCGATTGTACTGTACGGTACGCTGTTTCTCGATTGTACTGTACGGTACGCTGTTTCTCTATTGTACTGTACAGTACGCTGATTCTCGATTGTCTTGTATCTTGTACGTTGTTTCTCGACTGTACTGTACAGTACGTTGTTTCTCGATTGTACAGTACGGTACGCTGTTTCTCGATTGTGCTGTACGGTACGCTGTTTCTCTATTGTACTGTACGGTACGCTGTTTCTCGATTGTACAGTACGGTATGCTGTTTCTCGATTGTACAGTACGGTACGCTGTTTCTCTATTGTTCAGTACGGTACGCTGTTTCTCGATTGTACAGTACGGTACGCTGTTTCTCGATTGTACTGTACGGTATGCTGTTTCTCGATTGTACTGTACGGTACACTGTTTCTCGATTGTACTGTACGGTACGCTGTTTCTCTGCTGTTTCTCGATTGTACTGTACGGTACGCTGTTTCTCTATTGTACAGTACGGTACGCTGTTTCTCTATTGTACAGTACGGTACGCTGTTTCTCTATTGTACAGTACGGTACGCTGTTTCTCTATTTTACAGTACGGTACGCTGTTTCTCTATTGTACTGTACGGTACGCTGTTTCTCTATTGTACAGTACGGTACGCTGTTTCTCTATTGTACTGTACGGTACGCTGTTTCTCGATTGTACAGTACGGTACGCTGTTTCTCGATTGTACAGTACGGTACGCTGTTTCTTGATTGTATGTACGGTACGCTGTTTCTCGATTGTCTTGTACTGTACAGTACGCTGTCTCTCGATTGTGCAGTACGGTACGCTGTTTCTCGATTGTACAGTACGGTACGCTGTCTCTCGATTGTTGTCTTTTGATATATTTCTCACAATACTCCCTTATAGTTAGACAAGACAGGGATCAATACTTGGAGTAATGATGGGCTACACCATCGGGTTACAAATACACACAATCTCCCAGGCCCAGAGATTTGCACCAACGCAACAACTATCAAAGTATGTTACACTTAACATCCACTGTTGACACACGGTCGCCATATAGACGTACAACAAGCAGTCCTATTCCACGTGTCTGACAAGTTTCTGTCCAAAGTCTCAACTTTCATCGCACTGTGATGTCTGCCTTTCTCTTATTGACCATGAACTGTAGTGCTGCATATTTTGCGCAACTGTACAACAATTTACACTATTCTAATTTGGCCTCAAATACAATTTCAGTCATTTAATTTCCCTGTTTTTTTGTACATCTTAAAGCAAGTTGTATTTACAAAACGCCGTCGGTGCAATGAAAGATGTGTATCACACGTCAGTCCACTTATAGTCGCTGTCGGGGCGGTGGGGTAGCCAAGTGGTTAAAGAGTTCGCTCGTCACGCCGAAGACCCAGGTTCGATTCCCCACGTGGGTACAATGTGTGAAGCCCATTTCTGGTGTCCCCTGCCGTGATGTTGCTGGAATATTGCTAAAAGCGGCGTAAAACTAAACTCACTCACTCACTATAGTCGCTGTATGGCTGAAACAATGCGACGTAAAACTAAACCGTAAACTCAATAATCCTCTCATTAGTTATCAATGTACATTTCTATTTTCTGTAGCACATAAAACCACTCTATGTACAACCATTCCAAGTCCTGTAAGTTTAGACTGTAGTTAAAGTGAAGACATTGTTCTTCTTGACTTCTGCTGATGTGTGATAGCTGTAATGATGATAATGACGTCACAGCAACCTTGACCGACTTGTTGACGTTACAGGTTGCAGGTGAGGATGAAACTGTGCACGGTCATTCATAATGTCAAAAAATGGATCAACAAGTGTGCACCTTTCATCACAGCCAAAGTAGGTCCCGGTTCTTTCAGCACGAGATTAGAGAAGAGTGAGTGAGTGAATTGGGTTTTTCGTCGCTTTTAGCAATATTCCGGCAATATCACGGCGGGGACACCAGACAGAAATGGGCTTCACACAATATGCCCATGTGGGGAATCGAACCCGACTCTTCTGCGTGACGAGCGAGCACTTTAACCGCGAGGCTACCCCACCGCCAGTTGACAGAAGAAACCTACGTCAAATGTACAAGCTGAGCGTTGATTATGTGAAGATGACTCTGTGCCTCATTATGTGATAAAAGTCAACTCTGCCTCCCCATTTGCGCAAGTTGACGACGGGCTTAGAGAGACAGGAACAGGCATAATGATGTGAAGTCACAGATAGTAGCTGACAACACTGATGACGTAACTGATTATAGCTGACGACGATGATGACGTAACTGATTGTAGCTGAGGCCGATGGCGACGTTACAAATGGTAGCTGAGGATGATGATGACGGCCATAGCGATGACGACGAACACGATTGTCCCGACTGCCATCGCCCAATAGGCGTACTTCTTAGCATCCATCGATGCATAGTGAGCAAGTTCCAGGTCTCCTCGGTTGTAGTGTAGTTTAGCCTGTTGGAGTGATTAAAAATATCAGGTCAGAGAATTTAACATTCATTTTCTTTCTCATTCTCAAGAATTTATCCTCTCTCTCTCTTACAATCACACACTCCTTCCCCAACTCCTTCTGCAACGTGTACTCACGTCCTGGGACTTGGAGACACACAGCCACACCTCCCTTCCCCACCCCCTGCTTCTATATATACTCACGTCCTGGGACTTGGAGACACACAGCCACACCTCCCTTCCCCACCCCGCTTCTATATATACTCACGTCCTGGGACTTGGAGACATACAGCCACACCCCCTTCCCCACCCCCTGCTTCTATATATACACACGTCCTGGGACTTGGATACATACAGCCACACCTCCCTTCCCTATCCCAAGCTTCTATATATACTCACGTCCTGGGACTTGGAGACATACAGTCACACCTCCCTTCCCCACCCCCTGCTTCTATATATACTCACATCCTGGGACTTGGAGAAATACAGCCACACCTCCCTTCCCCACCCCCTGCTTCTATATATACTCACATCCTGGGACTTGGAGACATACAGCCACACCTCCCTTCCCTATCCCAAGCTTCTATATACATGTATACTCACGTCCTGGGACTTGGAGACATACAGTCACACCTCCCTTCCCCACCCCTGCTTCTATATATACTCACGTCCTGGGACTTGGAGACATACAGTCACACCTCCCTTCCCCACCCCTGCTTCTATATATACTCACGTCCTGGGACATGGAGACATACAGTCACACCTCCCTTCCCCACCCCTGCTTCTATATATACTCACGTCCTGGGACTTGGAGACACACAGCCACACCTCCCTTCCCCACCCCTGCTTCTATATATACTCACGTCCTGGGACTTGGAGACACACAACCACACGTCCCTGCCCCACCCCTGCTTCTATATATACTCACATCCTGGGACTTTGAGATGGCGAGGATACCAATAGGGAGACAACAGCACGCGGTGGAGAACACAGACAGGGCAAGGTGAGAGTTGAAATCGTTGTCGTCCTCCATCAGATCTCGGACGTCCATGGAGGGACGCTGGTGGAACACAATCACAGATATACCCCAACCAACAGAATTAAACACATTCTTTAATTTCAAAGGAAGCAGACCAATGTGCTGTCACCAAGTCATTTATCTACATGCTTGGTTTGTGAGTAAACTGACTGAATGGCCTCGGTCACATGGCGCTGACACACAATGCTTTAAGTCAACTGAGGTAAAAACATACTCAGAAAGAGCTATCATAACGCAAAGTCACTCGAAAGCTCATGGTTAGAATTGGTCTACTTTACAGCAACCCTCCCGAGTAACGGGAGTAGCTCACTTGGTTGACACATGTCATCGTATACCATTTGCGTAGATAGATGATCATGATGTCAATCACTGGATTGTCTGGTCCGGTCTCGAATATTTTCAGCGATATAGCTGAGACATATGAAATATTGCTAAGAGCGGCGTTAAACACCAATTAAGGCAAGCTCATTATAAAAGTTAGTGTATAGAAAAATTGTGGCCAACTTCGATTACCTCCCTTTCTCCCATCAGCCTTCAAATATCATTTTCCTTGGTTTATATATCTGCTGACACAAAGTTATTTTTTTGCTTTTCAAGATATTAATAGTATAAGTAATGTTTAAACATTGTTCTCAATGATAAACGGCACATGCACGTAACATGTACCGTGACTATAACTAAAGAAGCTGTCGTAAAATAACATAAGTGCCCCAGCTTACAGATGTTGTTGTGGCGATAGACTGCAGTCTGTATCGATGGCTGTAGTTGGGTGGGGGGTGGCACATACCCACCCGTTGAACCAGAGTCGATGCTGTATTTGTCGTGTCCCGGATGTTCCTGGTGACCCGGATGTCCTTGATGTGCTGGATGACCCGGACCTCCATGTCCGGGCTGATGGCTCGTGGAGTGTCCCTGCGGGGGCGGTTCTAAAACAGAACATGAACACATCTCAGAAGAGTGAGTTAGTGGGTCTTACGCCGCTTTTAGTAATATTCCAGCCATATCGGGGGACACCAGAAATGGGCTTCACACATTTTACCCATGTGGAGAATCGAACCCGGGTCTTCGGCGTGACGAGCGAACGCTTTAACCACAAGGCTACCCCACCGCCCCCATCTCAGAAGAATACTGATGCCTTCAACAGTAGTATCTCAAACTAAAATACATGCTACAACATTCGTTAGCCTATGATAAACTAGAGAGTTTCGACAGGTCGTAACGTTACGAACGTTTGTTGATCGTGGCTCCGTTTTACAAAGCTATCGTAGCGCTACGACTGTCGTAAGTCTATGTTAAAGTATAGGAGTTACGATCACCATAGTCGTAAGTCTATGTGTCGTAAGTCTATGTTACAGTATAGGAGGTACGACAGTCGTAAGTATATGTTACAGTATAGGAGGTACGACTGTCATAAGTCTATGTGGCAGTATAGGAGGTACAATCACCATAGTCGTAAGTCTATGTGACAGTATAGGAGGTACGATCACCATAGTCGTAAGTCTATGTGACAGTATAGGAGGTACGATCACCATAGCCGTAAGTCTATGTGACAGTATAGGAGGTACAATCACCATAGTCGTAAGTCTATGTGACAGTATAGGAGGTACGATCACCATAGTCGTAAGTCTATGTGACAGTATAGGAGGTACGATCACCATAGTCGTAAGTCTATGTGACAGTATAGGAGGTACGATCACCATAGTCGTAAGTCTATGTGACAGTATAGGAGGTACGATCACCATAGTCGTAAGTCTATGTGACAGTGTATGAGGTGCGATCACCATAGTCGTAAGTCTATGTGACAGTGTATGAGGTACGATCACCATAGTCGTAAGTCTATGTGACAGTATAGGAGGTACGATCACCATAGTCGTAAGTCTATGTGACAGTATAGGAGGTACGATCACCATAGTCGTAAGTCTATGTGACAGTATAGGAGGTACAATCACCATAGTCGTAAGTCTATGTGACAGTATAGGAGGTACAATCACCATAGTCGTAAGTCTATGTGACAGTATAGGAGGTACGATCACCATAGTCGTAAGTCTATGTGACAGTATAGGAGGTACGATCACCATAGTCGTAAGTCTATATGACAGTATAGGAGGTACGACAGTCGTAGCGCTACGATAGCTTGGTGAAGGGGGGCCGGGGCCCTGGACTATAATGGATGATAGGGCTAGGATGAATAACCCGGATACCCAGGACGGGTGGGTAATGAATTAGACCCGGGTACCCATCTCAATACCCGGACCCGTTATGATCATGTGACTAATAGATTAAACAATGTAATGTGTTATTCTTTCATGATTAAAATGCTGAATTGTCTTTGAAGATGTAGACATAATTTACAGTCACCTGTTTTGAATATAATTCATGGTTAAGATATTGAAAAACTCAAGAATATATTGCCATTTCTTACAAATTTGATGTCAGGAATTAACATAACAGGTATCACGGTAGGGTAAGGTAATAGGGGGTGGGGTATTCAGACAGAAATTTTGGACCCGTCCCAGCCCTAATGGAGGACACATCATATAAGTAAATGAGTCGATACTCGACTTCAGACGTAAGATGACATATTAATAATGATTTAAGGTAGACTGCACTCGTCGTATAGGGGAAGTAGCGTCCGCCCGGGGCGCGGGCCTTCGGCGGTTCTATCCCCGGTCCTCGTCAAATCAAAATTCGTTAAAAGACGGCACTTGTTGTTACAGTGCCTTGCACTCGGGATTAAGGGAATAAAACATGAACTGGTAGGCTCGGAGTCGCAAAAACACAGGTTGCATTCACAAGGGAAAGGATTGGTCACTAGTTTTCAGGTAGCCCTCGTTAGTCTTCGCCCACATTATTTCCAGAGTTGCGTCAGTTCATTTGAACTATTTGTTTTCGTAACGTTAGATGTGTATTGATAATGTCTTAGAGCGGATCACACAACCTGCCAGGCAACAGACAATTTATAAATTTATTGTTATTTATTGTTATTTATTGTTTAGCCACACTGAACTATGAGCATTCTTCTGTTTGTCCGGCAATTTATTTCACGATGGAAAGATAACAATATATGAAAAAAACCTTCTATATTACAGTAAGAGCGTAGTGAGGCTTGCAGTATAAACAACTAGATTGTGAAGGATGTAGTATAAACAAATAGACGGTGAAGGATGTAATATAAACAAATAGACAGTGAAGGATGTAGTATAAACAAAGGCATAGTGAAGCCTGTAGTATAAACAAAGGGATAGTGAAGCCTGTAGTATAAGCAACTACATTGTGAAACCTGTAATATAAACAACTAGATAGTGAAGCCTGTGGTATAAACAAAGGATAGTGAAGCCTGTAGTATAAACAAAGGGATAGTGAAGCCTGTAGTATAAACAAAGGGATAGTGAAGCCTGTGGTATAAACAAAGGGATAGTGAAGCCTGTGGTATAAACAAATAGATAGTGAAGCCTGTGGTATAAACAAAGGGATAGTGAAGCCTGTGGTATAAACAATGGGATAGTGAAGCCTGTGGTATAAACAAAGGGATAGTGAAGCCTGTGGTATAAACAAAGGGATAGTGAAGCCTGCAGTATAAACAAAGGGATAGTGAAGCCTGCAGTATAAACAAAGGGATAGTGAAGCCTGCAGTATAAACAAAGGGATAGTGAAGCCTGCAGGTATAAACAAAGGGATAGTGAAGCCTGTGGTATAAACAAAGGGATAGTGAAGCCTGTGGTATAAACAAAGGGATAGTGAAGCCTGTGGTATAAACAAACGGATAAGCCTGCAGTGAAGCCTGTGGTATAAACAAAGGGATAGTGAAGCCTGTGGTATAAACAAAGGGATAGTGAAGCCTGTAGTATAAACAAAATGGGATAGTGAAGCCTGTGGTATAAACAAAGGGATAGTGAAGCCTGCAGTATAAACAAAGGGATAGTGAAGCCTGTGGTATAAACAAAGGGATAGTGAAGCCTGTGGTATAAACAAAGGGATAGTGAAGCCTGTGGTATAAACAAAGGGATAGTGAAGCCTGTGGTATAAACAAAGGGATAGTGAAGCCTGTGGTATAAACAAAGGGATAGTGAAGCCTGTGGTATAAACAAAGGGATAGTGAAGCCTGTGGTATAAACAATAGGGATAGTGAAGCCTGTAAACAAAGGGATAAAAGCAATAAACAAAGGATAGTGAAGCCTGCAGTATAAACAAAGGGATAGTGAAGCCTGCAGTATAAACAAAGGATAGTGAAGCCTGCAGTATAAACAAAGGGATAGTGAAGCCTGCAGTATAAACAAACGGATAGTGAAGCCTGTAGTATAAACAAAGGGATAGTGAAGCCTGTAGTATAAACAAAGGGATAGTGAAGCCTGCAGTATAAACAAAGGGATAGTGAAGCCTGCAGTATAAACAAAGGGATAGTGAAGCCTGCAGTATAAACAAAGGGATAGTGAAGCCTGCAGAGTATAAACAAAGGGATAGTGAAGCCTGTAGTATAAACAAAGGGATAGTGAAGCCTGCAGTATAAACAAAGGGATAGTGAAGCCTGCAGTATAAACAAAGGGATAGTGAAGCCTGCAGTATAAACAAAGGGATAGTGAAGCCTGTAGTATAAACAAAGGGATAGTGAAGCCTGCAGTATAAACAAAGGGATAGTGAAGCCTGCAGTATAAACAAAGGGATAGTGAAGCCTGCAGTAGTGAAGCCTGTGGTATAAACCTGTGAGTATAAACAAAGGGATAGTGAAGCCTGCAGTATAAACAAAGGGATAGTGAAGCCTGCAGTATAAACAAAGGGATAGTGAAACCTGCAGTATAAACAAAGGGATAGTGAAGCCTGTAGTATACACAAAGGGATAGTGAAGCCTGTAGTATAAACAAAGGGATAGTGAAGCCTGTAGTATAAACAAAGGGATAGTGAAGCCTGCAGTATAAACAAAGGGATAGTGAAGCCTGCAGTATAAACAAAGGGATAGTGAAGCCTGCAGTATAAACAAAGGGATAGTGAAGCCTGCAGTATAAACAAAGGGATAGTGAAGCCTGCAGTATAAACAAAGGGATAGTGAAGCCTGCAGTATAAACAAAGGGATAGTGAAGCCTGTAGTATAAACAAAGGGATAGTGAAGCCTGCAGTATAAACAAAGGGATAGTGAAGCCTGCAGTATAAACAAAGGGATAGTGAAGCCTGCAGTATAAACAAAGGGATAGTGAAGCCTGCAGTATAAACAAAGGATAGTGAAGCCTGTAGTACAAAGGGATAGTGAAGCCTGCAGTATAAACAAAGGGATAGTGAAGCCTGTGCAGTATAAACAAAGGGATAGTGAAGCCTGCAGTATAAACAAAGGGATAGTGAAGCCTGTAGTATAAACAAAGGGATAGTGAAGCCTGCAGTATAAACAAAGGGATAGTGAAGCCTGCAGTATAAACAAAGGGATAGTGAAGCCTGCAGTATAAACAAAGGGATAGTGAAGCCTGTAAAACTGTATAAACAAAGGGATAGTGAAGCCTGCAGTATAAACAAAGGGATAGTGAAGCCTGCAGTATAAACAAAGGGATAGTGAAGCCTGTAGTATAAACAAAGGGATAGTGAAGCCTGTAGTATAAACAAAGGGATAGTGAAGCCTGCAGTATAAACAAAGGGATAGTGAAGCCTGCAGTATAAACAAAGGGATGAGTGAAGCCTGTGAGTATAAACAAAGGGATAGTGAAGCCTGCAGTATAAACAAAGGGATAGTGAAGCCTGCCTGTAGTATAAACAAAGGGATAGTGAAGCCTGCAGTATAAACAAAGGGATAGTGAAGCCTGCAGTATAAACAAAGGGATAGTGAAGCCTGTAGTATAAACAAAGGGATAGTGAAGCCTGCAGTATAAACAAAGGGATAGTGAAGCCTGCAGTATAAACAAAGGGATAGTGAAGCCTGTAGTATAAACAAAAGGATAGTGAAGCC